CAAATTGGTATGCAGACACCAAGTGACTCTCAGCTAAGCATAATGAATTGTTACCTAAGCATGATTTATCTGTGCGCAGTATATAAATCTACCGTAGAGTAAATGAAAAGCGACGGCTATGTTGCACCCTGTAAAAATATTGTTATCTGTATAGATAGATATGCAAGGGAGAATAACACAAGTGAATGAATCAGTAAATGCTTGAAGAGTACTTCAATCAAGTGATATGCGAAACGAACTGAAGACACAAGAATAAATTAACGTGCAACAGACCTTTTCTTAAGCCACAGCAAATATACCTTCTAAACTAAAACACCTGCCCAGAATTACCGCAAATATCTTCCTCATAATTACGTGCATTTTACAAGCTTCTGCTGACCACAATCGACACTTTGACCTTTCGGCCACAATATGCGCTCGTTAGTCAATGTTCAGCAATTTGCTGTGAATCAATAATAAATGTAAATAACATAACGTGCACATCTGTCGGTTCCCTGGGCAGTGTGGGCCATGCTGTTGCTCTTACGGTCAGGATTGATAATGATGCTGATGCTGATGTTGATGCTGATGGTGATGGTGATGGTGATGATGATGCCATCAACGCCGCTGAAGTAATCGAAAATAGGAATTGTTGCAAGTGAAATATGGCAAACTGTGGCTGGACACGCGCCCGTTCAATATAATTCAACGCCACATCATGGCAGCTGTTCTGTTCGGACAAGACAACAGCGCCAATTGACCTGAAATCAATGGGCCACGTAAGCCGGAGCTCCGCTTTTGGCACTGTCCGAGTCATCAAGCCCCACACAACCGGCCTCAGGAGTGGTTGGAATTAATTTTTTTTGTCTTTTGACTGATGGCCCTCTGCCATGTTACAATTATTTTGCTGTCTGCAAATTAAACTAAGACACGAAATTTAAATCACACGTTTTTCTTCACTTCACCTTTGTTGGAGAACCCCACGGAAGCTGTTTCGCTTAGCTAGCTGTTTTTTTCTTTTTGCTACTCGAAACTTATTTATTTGATGTTTCGCGTTGCTAATTAGTTCATTTGTTGCCTTACAAAGTTTTGTTCCGTTTCTTTACCACGCTGCCCTAAAGGGTAAAAGCTTAGGTTCTTCCCAGTCCTGACCGCACTCTCAAATTGTGGTGCAGGGTCGTTTCGCGGGTATATTATCCCAAACCAACCCTTTAATAGCTCCCCAGTTCCGGGATATGCAACATACACGAACGCAGTTGGCAGTGAAAGTTTCAAGAGCATTTCCGAACTACTTTATTAAGTCCGATCATAAATTAATTTAATTTAACCCTAAGCAATGCATAATTATTTGCGAAACTTAATTTAAAAGGGGCATAATAATATTTTTATTAAATTAATATTCAAACAAAAACAATATTGCCTGATCGATTAAATCGATTAAATGTAGTACTATATTTGATATATCTGCCACAATTTCTTTTCTCGCATACTTTTTATATTTTACAATCGAAAAATATCACAACAAATAAATGTGCATAAACAAAATGTGACCTTAAAACCACTTGAACGGAAATTGTAATTGCACGTATACAAAAAATTGTATTTATTTTTTATTCAGCAGAAACCAATATCATATCATATTTCACCATCATATTTCATTGATCAGATCTTTCGTTTGGACTTCAGTATTTGCACAGAAAACATCAATTTCCCAGAATTTGCAGGCATCACTCGCAAAAATGTTTCCAGGTTCAATTATTCATTCGTAGACACTCAAAGCACATCAATATTTCCCACAGGGCTGAGCTTGACATTCACTTTGCTGCAATTGGACATCTAACCAAACCGCCAACTAAATTTCACCAAAATACAACACAGCAAACCACATTGCTGGACCTTTAGCCATTGGCTTTTGGCGTCCCATTGGCTCGCTTTGTAATTTTCTCGTCCAATTCAATCTGCTTCATATATTTATTTGTTACACAATTCGACGCGCGGTCTACAAAAATCTTTGCAATTGCCAGACGCACAATAAATTATAACACAATTTCCTTCGCAAGTTTTCCCCAATTGCCAAATGAAAGCGAAATGAAAAAAAAAATAATAATATGGGAAACCAAAGTTCTTGTAACTAACTGAAATAATCTAAATACAAATCTAATTTCTTCAGCTGGCTTTGCTGAAGAAAAAAAAAAAACTGAGACGCTTCGAGCAACAATAAAAACTTAAATATTGCCCACACATAAGTAATTTATCCGAAATGCTTGCGGTCACTCGATTAAATGCTTAATTAGTGAGAAAATGTAATTTACCTCTGAAGTACTTAAAACGGAATTTGCAAGACGTTGGCCAAATCTTAAATCAAATTAATTATTTTCAGCATCGTTTTCGCTTCTTAAATAAGAGGAAACTACACAAAGTTGAGTTCGCATATCAATTAGCTAAAATTGAATATTTGTAAACTTGAGAGTCAAGCATTAAAGAGAATTAGCTTTTAGCCCACACACAAAATTAATTGAGCCAAAATAACGATGTTAGGATTAAACCTAATTCGATCAATTGTTAGCACATCAGGAGACTTAAGCTGCAAAACTTTGAATAAATTGAAAACATGAATAAAGTTGAGCAGAAGTCAACCTGTTTACAAACAAATCCGGAAAATCAAATCAGCTGCTCGCCTTTGCTGCTCGTTGAGAAAACAACCATAAATCAAAATCTTAAGGTCGCATACTTAAAACATAGCAATCCGCTTAGAAAGAAGGAGGAAAAATGCTAAGTAAACCCTCAAACCAATTGCTTTAAGTAACATGCTTTTGGTAAAAACAACTATAGCCTAAACCCTTACTCTTGGCTAAAAGCCAAGTTAAGCATTTATGCTTTGCATTCGATTGGTCCCGCTGTGAATTTAATATGCCACACTTCATTGCAGTTCGGCTAAAACGCAGCATTACGATTTTTATGTCTATTCGAAAATGGCTCTGGCGTATTAGAGGCATAAAACAGGCATAGGCATTAGCCCAAATCCTTTAAGTACCAATACACACACCCACACACACACACACACACACACACACACACACACACACAATGTGGCACATGCCACAACGTCAACACACTCTTTTGGGCGCGAAGCTGTTTTATTAACGTGCACGTGCAGGGACCAGAACCAGGACGCGAACAAGCAACGAAAATGCCAGCAGGACCTCCTCGAGTTTCCGGCGGTGCTGGCCATCAAAATCAACGTTTAATGTCCGTCTAATCGCTTTCGCATAAATTTGCGCGCGATTTTGCAATAAAGCTAAAAACCCAGTCTGCATGCTGGCTGTCTGTTGGTCCCACCCGCTGTGGTGCCTAGGGGGTATATTGGCTCTAAATTTGATGTTAGTTTCATGGGCTTTACGCATGATTTGAGTTACCATTGGCCAAATTTAATTAAACCAAATGCCAAAAGCCAACACAATCAAAGCAGCAGCAACAACAACAAGAGCAAAAACCAATGGATATCCAACCTTTTGCATGCGAACGAGAGCTGCTGACATTCCAATTAGAAAAGCAAATAAAGCAGACTTTAATTGAAAAATTGTCATCAGTGCCCAGCTCCATTCCAATCGTACACAAGAAGACAACAAAAGGTCAAAATGGTGGGAAATCTTTGTGTAACTGGATTGCATTGCACAATTCATTAGCTTATATTCAAGGCATATGAATATTCTGTTAGAGCACACCCATCGCATCCACTCGCATATCAATTACTCAATTGTTCCAATCAAATTTGCTCAAAAAACAAGTATACAAAAAAGAATAAGTAATACAATTTAAATATCAAGAAACTCTTATTACATGTCATAAGAGAACATACTAAGCTTATTCTCATCGCATCACAAACAACGCATTAGACCACCAAGAAGTCTGCTGGGACAATTATACACTTGTAGAGGGTATTATAATTTTGTCATTGAATTGGTAACTCACAGATAAAGAAAGCCTAAGAAGTATGTATATTCTTTATCAGTATCAAAAGTTGCGTCAAATGCTTATGCTCGTCTTTCTGTTTCCATGCGATATAGTCCCTCAGTGTTTAATGAATTAATGGAAATTCCCTAAGGTCTTCTTGTTGCGAATACTTCATATATCATTTAACAAATATAAGCTTCCTGTTTTAACATATTTGTTTAGGTAGTTATCACGACTAAACTGGGCAATTTTAAGTTTCACTATGTTTTATATATAACTCTATCGGGAAACTATTTCAGCTGACATAGGAACGAAGATAGAATATATCTTAAATAGAAACAATCGGTCGCAAAATTAGTTCTTGTACAGAAAACTTTGTTTGTAAAGGTCAATAGTAAAAATAGGATGAAAAGTGAGTCTCTGTTCATCATGACACGTTCAACAAAACAAACAGCCCATATTCCATAAGAGTATTTAATCTTCGACCTGCCAGACCTGTCTTTCCATCTTGTTTTCTCTCCCATGTACTATCTTATCTTAAACTGGGTTCATAGTTGTACTGCTGCCGTAATTACGCACTGAATACTTGAAATGGTTGCTTCCAGTAAAACACCTATATATTATTGATTTGATAATATTTTGTGTTTTGTCATTGTGAGTATGAGTCAAAATCGATAATACGTAGCTTTCTCCTTTCTATGTTTTTAACTATGAGTATAAATACTACATATTTTTGATTGGCAACAGAAATCCTAACGTAACCGCCGATCTATAAGATCCCACACTAGTTGAGTGGAATTTATTACACCAAGGAGAGATCAGGTTAAATAGAATATTGCATTTTCTACTTAAACGTGTTTAAGCAAACGGATCTATTAGCGTTTTTCTGCTCTTGTGACTTATTTCTCGGGATACTCAATTTTGGAATAGTTGTTACTCTAGCTCAAAATTTGCCACATCTGCGAGAGTGTCATAGATCGCTTTGATATCTCCGAAAGCTTTTCTGTCAGTGCTGTTGGCAAAATATAAATAAAAAGCCGGCAAAGCTCGCCAGATACTTAGTTCCCCATTGACACTTGCCGAGGTAACTCTATACGATTTCCATCATGGTTCTGCTTACGATCGCCCTGCTGGGCGTGGCACTGGCGCTTTTTTACAACTTCTACCTCAATGTGTACAAGTACTGGGATCGTCGGGGCGTACCCTACGAGCGGCCTCTGCCAATATTGGGCAACATGAGAGGTATCGGCACGCGGTTGCATTTCCGCGACATCAATCAGAGACTCTACGATCGCTTTAAGGGCAAGACACCGATCATTGGCATGTTCATGTTCTTCAAGAGAGTCGCTATGATTGTCGACCTGGATCTGATCAAGCAGATGCTGATCAAGGACTTCAACACCTTTCAGGATCGCGGCGTTTTCAGCAATGTGCGCGATGAGCCGCTTACGGGACACCTATTCACGCTCGAGGGCGATGAATGGCGTTCCATGAGACACAAATTGACGCCCGTCTTTACCTCCGGCAAAATGAAGCACATGTTCGGCGTAGTCGTCGAGGTGGGTCATCATCTGGCCGACACCATGGATAAAGCTGTAACCGCTGCTCGCGCCGACGGTGGCGATGTGGAGATCAAAGAGTTCTGTGCTCGCTTCACCACAGACGTCATTGGCACTTGCGCCTTTGGCCTCGAGTGCAACAGCCTGGCCGATCCGCATGCCGAGTTTCGTGCCAAGGGTCGCATGCTGTTCGAAAAGCCGCGTCACCACCAGCTGGTGCAGGCCTTCATCTTCACCAACTCGAAACTATCAAAGAAACTGCACATGAAGGTGTTTCCCGATGATCTATCCAATTTCTTCATGGAGGCTGTGCGGACGACAGTCGATCATCGACTAAAACACGGCATAAAACGCAATGATTTCCTCGATCAGCTGATTGAGCTACGCGCTGAGAACGAGGAGGCGGCACGTCGTGGGAATGGCATCGATCTCTCTCAAGGCCTCACCATTGAGCAAATGGCCGCCCAGGCTTTTGTCTTCTTCATAGCTGGATTTGAGACCTCCTCCAGCACAATGGCTTTTTGTCTATACGAACTGGCACTGCAGCCGGATGTGCAGCACCGCCTCAGGGAGGAGATCGAAACGGTGATCAAGGCGACAGCGGATGGAGAGCTCACCTACGATGCCATTGGGCAGATGAGCTATTTGGAGCAAGTGCTGGCAGGTAGGAAATGCATATTCTCAATACAACTCTTACTCTATTAACCTCTCAACTCTCCCAACAGAGACTCTGCGTAAGCATCCGATTCTGCCCCATTTAATGCGACAAACGAACCAGGATTACAAAGTGCCTGGCACAGACTTGGTCATTGAGCAGGAAACATCTATTATAATTCCTGTACATAGCATACACCACGACCCAGATATTTATCCGGACCCCGAGCGTTTCGATCCATCGCGCTTCGAGCCTGATGCCATTAAGGCGCGACACCAATTTGCATATCTTCCATTTGGAGATGGACCTCGCAACTGCATTGGTGAGCGCTTTGGCAAAATGCAGGCCAAGATTGGCCTCATTTGCCTTCTGCGCCGCTTCAAATTTGGTGTATCTAATCGCACGGAGATTCCGCTGATTCTTAATAACCGGAACTTTCCATTAGCCACTAAATATGGCATTCATCTAAAGGTGGAACGTGTTTAAGAAATCAACTAGAGTGTATATAATATACAAACTAAATTATAATAACTTCTGTGCCGATGGAATTGGGAATTCAAAAAATTTATTAAGTAATCTAAATGATTAGAAATAATAAATTCCATGGAAGCTTTGGGGCGCCATAGATTTAACACACTAGATAATTAACTCAAGTAGGTTGCAAAGGCAACTGAATGTCGAGATATAAGATAAAGGTGTGAAAGTGTTATTTCTTAGTAAAAAGCCATGTTGACTAGTACTTCATAAATTCTCTAATAACTCTATCCAACAGTCTAAAATTTAATAAAAAAAATCATATTTATAAGAGAGAGCAGCTCTTAACTTCCTTCATTGTTATTGTTATTAATCATCCCACCTACTTCCAACTCAATTTAAACTCAAGACCATTCCTTAATCTAAATCCTTAATATGTAAAATAATGTTTATCAAGCCCGTATATCAAACTTATGAAAAATTAACACTCTTACTCTTAATGAAAGTTTTATATACCACGACAACATTCATTATTTTATCCAAAGCACCAAAACCCCACCTGTTTATTATCAGAAAACCGTCTAAATGCCACACAAATACTCTTACCGTATTTCACAGTTCTAAAAATCGAATTAAATTTCAATATGGAAAGCTTTCAAAAACAAACAGCACAACGGAGATGAGGCTATGGACATCAGACTATTAATAGAAAGCATTCTGGACATGTTTATTTGTACGCTTTTATTTGAATATTCAAATCAAACGATTATTGCGCATTTTAGCTGATATGTACATGCTCTTCATGCAAATTGGCAATATGCAATATGCATATTTATTTTGACTAAAAGACTTATTTGCGATTATGAAACCAAAAAATTCCATGGAAACAAAGTAAAACTTTTACCCGTGTAGAGGGTATTCTAATTTTGTCATAAAATGTGTAACGCATAGCAGACATTTTCAACACCATGAGATATATATATATACTCGATCAGTATCGTTGTCCGACTTTCTACTACAGGCGGCAAGTATATGTAGTGGGAAAAGGCGGGATCAGGTACTATTGGTATTAGTTTATATCTGCTCTTATCAAGATTGTATCACCTATGATATAGCATATATATAGAATATAGAATGACAAATAGACGGACAGACCGATAGACATACAGATGGACAATTGTCATGAATATTATTCCTTAAGGGTGTATTTTAAATAATATATAATAGGACATCCATGAAGTTGACATAACAAACAAAAGCTCAATAAGTGTTCATTGAATTTCGTGTAAAAAAATATACATATTTAAAACTGCTGCTGGATTTAAGCCAGCTGCTTGCTTGTGGTTTCTGTTGAAGGCCCATATTTCCACTATTTTTTCACTATTATATTTAATAGTTTAATAAACATGGAAAATAACTTTTGGCAGCATCATAAATAATAAAACTAATGGCAATAATAATAATAATAATAAGAATAATAATAATAATATCAAAATATTTATAATACAAATAATAATAAGAATCATTTAAAAAAAATTAAATTTTGCTACATACCTTGTTCTGTACATATTACACACACATATATATGCCTCTAAGCTGCTTTCCGGCGATAAGAAAGAGAGCGAGAGCGCGGAAGAGAGAGCACGCAAAAAGCTGTCACTATACAATGCAAATGTTCGGTTGGCGTCTCAGTTGCAACGCGTTCATGGAATCATGTTAACGTTTCTTTTATTACTGGTCACCGCCGGTGGCGTCATCTATGTCTGGTTGAATCAGCACTACACGTACTGGCGCCGACGCGGCGTGCCGGGGGAGCGACCTGTTTTCCTGTTGGGTAACATGCGCGGATTTGCGCAAAGGTTTCACTGGATGGACATCAATTGGCGCATTTATGACAAGTTTAGGGGCCGGGAACGATTTTGCGGCTTTTATACGTTCCTTAGCAAGGCGTTATTTGTGCTCGACCTGGAACTGATCAAGCGGATCATGATCAGCGATTTTAACAGCTTTGCGGATCGAGGACTCTTTCACAATGTGCGCGATGACCCACTGACTGGGAATTTGCTGTTTCTAGACGGCGAGCAGTGGCGCTGGCTACGCCAACACCTGACGCCGGTGTTTAGCTCCGGTAAGATGAAGTATATGTTTCCCACAATGGTTCAAGTGGGCGAGCAGCTGGCGTTGAGCGCGGAGCAGCAACTGGGCGAATTCGAGGCGAAGGATCTGTGCGCTCGCTTCACCACGGACGTCATTGGCAGCTGCGCCTTTGGTCTGGAGTGCAACAGTCTTGCCAATCCGGGATCGGAATTCCGTGAAATGGGCCGCTCGATAACGGAACGCCCGCTGCATCAAGGCATTGTACAGGCCTTTATGTTCGCCCAGCCACAGCTGGCAAGGAAATTGCGCCTGCGTCTCTTTCGGCCGGAGGTGAGTCAGTTCTTCATGGACACTGTGCGTCAGACACTGGAGTACAGAAAACGCGAGCACGTCAAGCGCAATGATCTCATCCAGCTGCTCATCGAGCTGGGTGAGCATACGGACGAAACGAAGGCAGCGTTGAGCTTCGAGCAGATTGCCGCACAGGCCATGGTCTTCTTTCTGGCTGGCTTTGACACCTCCTCCACGACCATGTCCTTTTGCCTATACGAGCTGGCGCTCAACCCTGCTGTACAACAGCAGCTGCGCCAGGAAATCCAAAGCACCTTGAAGCGTCACAAGCAACAGCTGGGCTACGAGTGCCTGCAGGAGATGACCTACCTTAACCAGGTGGTGGCAGAAACGCTGCGCAAATATCCCGTGCTGCCGCACCTGGTGCGGCGCACAACCAATGCATACAACGTGCCGGAGAGCAGCCTAATCCTGGAGCCGGGCACGCGTGTTATGATACCCGTGCATAGTATACACCACGATCCAGATATATATCCCGAGCCAGAAAGTTTTGATCCCGCACGCTTCGAGCCCGAAGCGATCCAATCGCGTCACCCATTTGCCTATCTTCCGTTCGGAAATGGACCACGCGCCTGCATAGGTGAGAGATTTGGCCTGATGCAGGTGAAGATTGGCATTGTTACACTCTTGCGCCATTATCAGTTTCGGAGCACACAGAGAACTCAGATTCCTCTGAAATTTAGCAAAAAAAATTTTCTTATCGCTACGGAGTCTGGAGTTCACCTTCAAATGGAGCGACTTGATATCGACTTACCATAAATTATGTTTCCGTTTAAATGCTAACCTTTCAAATGTTGCTTTAGGTCAGGTGCAGAGATTATCAGCACTCGCAATATAAACAATTCAATTGGCACAATGAAATATTTCATGCGAAACCCAAAAGAAACTACGCGCTTTAAATAAATTCGATAAGCAAAAGCTTTTTAAAAGCTAAGCGGCTGGAAGTTCAAATTCCCATTCCCTCTCTTCATTATTGTTTCTGGTCTGGCGCTCTCAGCTCTCCGCTGCGAACAAATCAAAATGTAAACAACGGTTGTTTACCTGTGTTCAAGAAATGTATTCGCTTTAGCATACCCTGTAGCTTAAACTTTTAATTGAAATTTTTCTGCTATATTTGGCGAATGTGCTTTTATGAATTGTTACAGTATTCTAAATGTTTTAAAGAAATGACGTACGTACTTTTATGTTGTTAAATTATTGAGATATTTTTATATACTGATAATACTCAATTTTCTTTGGTGCAACTTGTCGATGTAATATGTAAGATAACGTTAAAGCACCTTCAAAAATATTGTCACAAGTTGGAAGTTCTGCAAAATGGCAATTCAATTAAATCACAAATAAATAAAAATACCATGTATTAGTAAAATGCCAAATGACTAGGAAAACACCCTTTGCTAGAGCATTTCTAACTGTTTATACATATGTATATGCAGATGAACATGCACCTAAAAAAGCGAATGAATTTAAAGAAAAATGGCCAAGCAATAGAAAGGCAGCTTTAAAAGCTGCAAAATACAACGGTAACTATAATGCATGGCATTAACTTTATCGCCACCTGCCTTTTGTGCAATGCCGTTATCACAAAGTCATTATTCAAGTTCAGGGTTTACTTGTTTGCTTCTCTCTCTCGCTTTCGCTCTTTCTCTCGCGCACTCACATTAATGCGAGACATACTGAAAGCGCGCGCCACTGGAAATACTGAGAGCATGCGAATTGCCATCACATAGTTGATCACATAGCTGCCCCGCGCGTCAGCCCACCAATTAAACGAGGCTATCTGCCCGAGATGTTTACATTGAAACGCACTTTGAACCGCAGCTGATTAAGAACCGCTCCACAGACTCCGTCGCCGCAGATCAGTTGAAAGCGAAACGCGCGAAATGCTGGATGTAATTGCGCTGCTCTTAATTACACTGGCCGTCGGGTTCTGGTTTGTGCGCACGAGACTCAGCTATTGGGCGCGACGGAGCATCAGCCATGCGCGGCCCACTTTTCCCATGGGCAACCTGGAGGGTTTTCGGAAGGACAAGCACTTTAAGGACATTCTGACGCCGCTTTATGAGAGCTTCAAGCCCACCGGGGCGCCCTTTGCGGGCTTCTACTTTATGCTGCGACCGGTGGTGCTGGTGCTGGACCTGGAGCTAGCCAAGGAAGTGCTTATCAAGGACTTTGCGAACTTTGAGGATCGCGGCTTGTACCACAATGAGCGCGATGATCCACTCACAGGCCACCTGTTTCGCATAGATGGGCCCAAGTGGCGGCCACTGCGCCAGAAGATGACGTCCACCTTTAGCTCCGGCAAGATGAAGTTCATGTTTCCCACGGTGTGCGCCGTGGGCGAGGAGCTAGCTCAGGTCTGCGCTGAGCAAGCGCAAAATTCCATTTGTGGCATTCTGGAGATAAACGATCTGATGGCCAGGTACACCTCGGATGTGATTGGTAGCTGTGTTTTTGGCTTGGACTGCAATGGACTGCGCAATCCGGAGGCCGAGTTCGCCGTAATGGGACGACGCGCCTTCATAGAGCGACGCCACAACAAACTCATTGATGGCTTCATTGAGAGCTTTCCAAATCTGGCACGCCGTCTGCGCCTACGCCAGATACACCAGGACATTACGGACTTTTACATGCGCATCGTACGGGATACAGTCAATGAGCGCGAGTCAAAGGGCATTGTGCGTAACGATTTCATGAATCTGCTCATCGAGATGAAGCATCGCGGGGAGCTGACGCTGCCCGAAATGGCCGCCCAGTCGTTCATATTCTTTGCCGCCGGCTTCGATACCTCGGCCTCGACCTTGGGATTCGCCCTCTATGAACTGGCCAAGCAGCCACACCTCCAGCTTAAGCTTAGACAGGACATTGAGCAGGCGCTTCAGGCGCATGGAGGCCAATTTACGTACGAGTGCATGCAGGAGCTGCGCTATATGGAGCTGGTCATAGCAGGTCAGTGTGATAACAATAAGTAGGGGTATTCATATATTTCGCACACTGCCAACCAGGAACTTTTTATAGGTGACTTTCTTGCGATGTTCCTTATCATGTTCCAAACAAAATATTATAAAATACCAATGCTTAACACGAAGCATTAAGTTTTAAATCTAGCCTATAGAGTCATCAGTAAATATATGTATAACATATATATAGCTGATAATTATAAAAATTTATTTTATTTTATTATCACTTTTATGAGTTATATTTTCTTTTAATTCCTGGCTAGTTAATACCGCAATCCTAGGTAATTTTCCTATTTTGTTGACTAGAATATATAGATAAGGGGATATTCGCATATTTCTGAACCCCAGAATTTTTGATAAACCATCTAATCTATTACGGAGACAGACTTGTATATATCTGCAGAAAAATAGAAAGAGGGGATGAAGAAAGTAATTGAAAGAAAGGGAAATAGTGAGAGCATGTGCAGAGATTCACTTAGTTAGATAACTAATACAACTTGTTAATATAATACTTATAGTCAAATGTGGGATAGTTATATATAAACTATATAAAATATATAAGCTTCGTTTGCATTTTATATAAGTTCATTTATAATAATATATTCGACTATACACAATTATAATAAGAGATACCTTACATATATGGCCAACATTTTTTTAATTCTTATCTAAATCCGACTTTAATTGAACCTTAACTACAATTTTTAGAAACGCTTCGCAAGTATCCCGTGTTGCCTCATCTGTCGCGCGTCTCTCGCAACTTTTATGCGGCCAAGGGCAATAAACACTTCTACATCGAGCCTGGCCAGATGGTTTTCGTACCAGTCTATGGCATACATCACGACCCAGAGCTATATCCGGAGCCGCACAAGTTTATTCCGGAACGATTTCTCGCCGACCAGATGGCACAGCGACACACCGCCTCCTGGCTGCCCTTTGGCGATGGACCCCGCAACTGCATCGGCATGCGTTTCGGCAAGATGCAGACGAGCGTGGCCCTCTTTTATCTGCTAAGGCGCTTTCAGTTTAGTGTCTGTCCGCGAACCGCGTCCAAAATTGAATTTGTCAAGTCCAACATATTGCTATGTCCAGCCAATGGCATCTATTTGAAGGTTGAGGAGCTAAGAAAATAATAATACAATCACATTTATCAAATTGACATTATGTAGTCTTATATGAATAATGATTTAGTCGATAATAATAAGAAATATATTAATAAATAATTTATCGTACTTACATATCTACAATTATATTGACCACTGCCCGATTTAAGACTATTTTTGTAACTAGGGTTCATTACATTTTGTTCGACATAAAATTAATAAAACTTTAATTAATTGATTAAGAACTTATTATTAGCTTTCTCTTCTTAGACTCACGCCCTGGCTTTTGTTAACATCATTGGGCTAGCAGGATTCCGATTACTATTTTGGGTAACTCAATGACTAAGCAATAGCATTAGCATTCCTTCTATATATAACTACTACGATTACTACCTGGGAACCATTATTTCGTTTGTTCGGTGCAACATTGCGGCATATGATACTATGGAATGAGATTAGATTAGATACTATGCATCCAAAATTGAAAATATTTAAATAACTGTGCCCGATAAGTTCACCAATTAAGCGTGAATTAAAGCTAAACTTTATTTCCCATAACAATTACTTTATTTGCGAATAATAAGAACTTAAGATAATTGATCTTTATTCTTTATATATCAAGAGAGAGGTAGTAACTCGCTCCCTCTCTCTGTCAATGTGTTATAACCACATTTAGCGGAAAGCTCTGCGAGAGCGAGCTTTGGACTATATATAACGTGTGTTGGGCGTATGGTTAGCTCAGTTGACATCGGCGCATAAAATGTCGTTTATTCTAGCGCTGGTCGGTATTATAATATCGCTGCTGTTTTATGCAGTCAGGCATAGGCACAACTATTGGAATCGTCGTGGGATTCCACACGATGTGCCCAAATTTCCGAAGGGCAACATCGGCGACTGGCCGTCCAAGCGACAAATAGGCGTTGTCTTCAGGGATTACTATCTGAAGTACAAGAATGCAAATAGTCCGTTTGCGGGCTTCTATTTCTTTTTCACCAAGACCGTTGTGGTCACCGACATGGAGCTGGTGAAACGCGTCCTCATAAAGGATTTCAATAACTTTGAGAATCGTGGCGTATTCTATAATGAAATTGACGATCCCCTGTCGGCCACGCTGTTCAGCATTGAGGGACAGAAGTGGCGGCAGCTGCGGCACAAGCTGACGCCCACCTTCACCTCGGGCAAGATGAAGCACATGTTGCCCATAGTTTTGCAAGTGGCTGAGGAAATGGTCAAGGTGTTTAACGATAAGGTGTCTGCACCTCAGGTGTTGGAGATCACCGATTTGGTGGGTCGCTATACGGCCGACGTGATTGGCACCTGCGCCTTTGGGCTCGACTGCAATAGTCAGCGCAATCCAGATGCGGACTTTGTCAGCATGGGCAAGCGAGCAGTCACGGAGCGACGCTATCATGGGCTGCTTGATTTCATCTTATTTGGCTTTCCCAAGTTGTCGCGTCGCCTGCATCTGAAGATAACAACTGAAGAGGTTGAGGAATTCTACATGCGCATCGTTCGCGATACCATCAACTACCGCCTCAAGAGCAATGAGAACCGCGGCGATTTCATGGACATGCTCATCGAAATGTATCAGAAGCAGCAGAAGGGCAACACCGATGAGGGCCTTACCTTCGAGGAGCTGGCGGCCCAGGCATTTATATTCTTTGTGGCCGGCTTTGAGACCAGCTCCACAACCATGGGCTTTGCCCTGTACGAACTGGCCCAGCATCAGGACATCCAGGACAAGTTGAGAGCGGAAATAAACGATGTGCTTGGCAAGCACAACAATAAATACTCTTACGACAATGTTAAGCAAATGGAATATCTGGAGCAGGTTGTCATGGGTAACATATTATACAGCCCGTTTGTTTCTGTATTTCCCTAATTCTAAACTTAATACTTCAATATAGAAACTCTTCGCAAATATCCCGTGTTGGCCCATCTGACACGCATGGCCATCTCGGACTATTCGCCAGGAGATCCGAAATATTATATTGAGAAAGGCAGCATTGTTGTGATACCAGCCCTCGGCATACACTACGATCCCGACATCTATCCCGAGCCACAAAAGTTCAAGCCAGAGCGCTTCACGGAGGCAGAGATTTCGGCTCGACCAGCCTGCAGTTGGCTGCCCTTTGGCGATGGTCCCCGCAATTGCATTGGCTCCCGCTTCGGCCTCATGCAGACCTGTGTGGGCCTGGCCCATCTGATCAAAGACTTCAAGTTCAGTGTGTCCCCCGAGACCCAAATACCCATGAAATTGGTCACCAAGAACATACTGTTGTCTTCTGAAAACGGCATTTATTTAAATGTTGAGAGGGTTTCCAAGTAAATACACAATTGTTATTCATGTATGAATTAATCAGTTAGCCAGATAAGAATTATACACAAGAACTCTTTAACTATACTTATCTAATCTAACATTGATAAGTTAAGCAGCTAATCAATTGCTTATACACCCATCACATGCACTCTGTAAATTAATCTGTGTCAAACACATTTTCTATCACCCGAAATTTATTGAATTTTTCTTATAATAGTTAAACACAAAGTGAGTAAGTATAGTTGTCTTATACTAAAACCTATTAATTGTTCTTATATTTAATTCAAATAATGTTTGCCTTTAATACTACAAAAATAAATATTATTATCAGCTGTAGACTTCAGATAAGTAGCTAACATAAAGCAACTAACTTCTTGGTTGACAGCCTTTATTGTTTATCGATTGACCATGTCCGGCATCTATTTGTTTCCCTATGTTTCTTCCATATAAACGTAATGTCATTATCATCTGACAAATAATTAATATATATATATATATAATAATGACGCACAAATGGCACATAAGACAACACCGACCTTTTAAGGTTTATTTAAGGCAATTTAACAAATAAAATAAATAATAATAAATAAAAATATAAATAATAAAAAACTAATATATATCATATAGTTGCTTGAGTAACGGTTGGTTCTGTTTTATTATTATTATTTTATTTTCGTGTAAGCCCAGCATTTATTGGTTTGCTCCCTTAATATGTGGTCAGAACTTTTTACTATTTGGTAACATTATACAATACAGCTTTGTAGGAAACATTAGTTAAGAAATAAGTTCATGTATGAAGGTGTTATCGTGACAGCCCAGCTTGAATTGTATAACATGTGAGGGTTCGAAGTTTTCTCGTTCAACTCAATATTTCAGCCCTCCGCCTGGGAGCTTATGCATTTGCTACCATTACTAGTTATACTTATGTAAAGACTAGCCACTCGAGTCCCATCATCATAATACATCATTATCTACGAGAGAACTCTAGATGAACCCTGTGCCGCCTCGTGTGCCATTTGCTAATATATTTTAATAGAGTCGCGTCAACATGTTTGCAATAAAGTTAATTTTAAGTAGAGGTCCTGACCTGCACCACGGGCCAGAGCAGGGCCTATAAATGCCACAGAGCTTGATTATCTGCCACCCAGTTTAAAAAAGTTTGGTCAACTGACATGTTCGCCTCAACTTTGCTACTCGCGTGTGTCCTGATCGGATTCTATATTTGGATAAGGCAGCGTCTATCCTACTTTGAACGTCGTGGCATTGCGCATGAAGCTCCCCTGCCGTTGGTGGGAAATCTGTGGGGCTGGCGGGTAACAAGACACACCTCGGAAATAGTACAGAATCTCTATGTGAGGTACAAGCACTTGGGCCCACTCATTGGATTTTATTTTCTTATGACGCCCGCCTATATTATTTCGGATATGGAGCTGCTGAAGCGGGTTTTCATCAAGGATTTTGCTAACTTCGACGGTCGAGGGCTGTTTTACAATGAGCGGGACGATCCCTTGTCCGCGCATCTCTTTGCCATTGATGGTCCCAAGTGGCACAGCCTGAGGCCCCGCATGTCGCCCATATTCAGCAGTGCCAAGATGAAGCTTATGTTTCCAGCGGTGCTGCGAACAGCCCGGGAACTGTCGAAAGTGCTACACGAGCGTTGCTCGGGAAAGGCTGCTTCTTTGGAGGTCACCAAGCTGCTGGCGTGCTACACGGCGGACACCATTGGCTCCGCAATTTTCGGGCTGGACTGTAATAGTCTGCGCAATCCAAAAGCGCCCTTTGTGCAGATGGGACTGAATGCGATGCTTAAGAAGCGCATCGATTACATATTCTGTCTGCTCTTCCCAGAGCTGAGTCTCAGACTGCACATCAAGCGAACGCCCGCCGACGTGGAGGCCTTCTACATGGGCCTGGTCAAAGACACCATCAGCCACAGGGAGCAGCACAAGATAAAGCGCAATGACTTTGTTGATATCATGCTGGAAATGAAGCAGAAATACGATTCGGGCAACACAGCCGAGGGTCTGACGGTCAATGAGATCGCCGCCCAGATGTACGTATTTCTGGTGGCGGGCTTTGAGACAACATCCACAGCTCTAACCCTGGCCTTGTACGAGCTGGCACGTCACGAACATATCCAAAGCCAGCTGCGGGAAGAGATCGAGGAGGTCATTGCGAACTATGGGGAGAACGGAGAGCTAAACTACGAGGCCATGCAGAAAATGAAGTATCTGGAGCAGGTCATATCGGGTAAACAAAACTAACAGATCAAAATATTTTAAGAATATTTTATATTTGTGTGTTCTCATTTAACTATCTCTTAGAAACCCTGCGGATGTATCCCGTGGCCACAGAGCACATGCGTCGTGCCAATGGACATTTCGAGGTGCCAGATCATCCGAAGCATTATATACCAGCTGGATCGCATCTGATCATACCTGTCTATGCCATACACCATGATCCGGAATATTATCCGGAGCCGGAGAAGTTTCTGCCCGAACGTTTCACAGAGGAGGCCATACAGAAACGGCCCAGCTGCGCCTTTCTACCCTTCGGTCTGGGTCCCCGCATCTGCATTGGCATGCGTTTTGGCCGTATCAAGCTGGCCGTGGGCTTAATTGCATTAATACGTAATTTTCGCTTTGCCTTTGCGCCCACCACCCCACAGACCATGCAATTCGAGAAGCATTCGTTTCTACTACACACAAAAGGTTTCCAGCTGCAAGTGGAGCCGCTCGGCTAGAAGCTCAAATAGATATCGCAGACGAAGTTTTGCGACTATTAATACAATTGACACGGCTTTCAATTCTTACTCATTCATAATTAATTTTAATTTATATTTGTATTCTTGTATATTATACAATGATAAGAGCATAACAAGCCCCAATAACCAAGGCAGAAGCACAATCACAAAACTGGTTTGCAAATTATGTTTATATATAGTAAATTCACATATACAAGCTAAAGTGACGCAATATTCTCGAGCTTAAGTTAATCATTTGTTCTTCCAACCAGAGAGAGAGAAATAGATAGATAGGGGAAGAGAGAGAGAGAGAGAGAACAGCTTTGAAAGCTTAACAATTAAATATTTACGCATCCCACCATTCACATTCAGTGCATGAGTGAACTTTAGATATGCCAAGCCCACTGGCTCTGTAATAACAAATAAATTGTGTATATACAATAAAAATTATGTTTATGAAAATACGACGTAAGCTCGAATAATTGTTACGGATACAATTTTTATTTTAATAACAATTTGTTCCCTTTAAATTCAACCATTTCTAAAAAATCTCATAAATGATATGTAACCATCCGAACACACAATATAATTAAGTATTAACACAAAACAAAACAACTAGTATTAATATTGAGTCCATATTAAAATGTTTTGTTTAAGCTAGACTTGAACACGCTCCACTTTCAGGTAAATGCCAGACTCGCTAGCTATCAAGAAGCTCTCCTTGTGATTTTTAATGGGTATAATTGTCTTATCGCACACCGAAAACTTAAAGTTTTTGATAAGCATGGCAAGACCAATGCGAGCCTGCATTTCCCCAAATCTCATTCCAATGCAATTACGCGGCCCATCACCAAAGGGAAGCCATTCTCCCGAGTCACGGTTCTTCACTCGTTCGGCTTTAAAATTATCTGGATTGAATCGATTTGGTTCAGGATAGAACTTTTCATCACGGTGAATAGCACCGCAGGGTATCAGCACTGGCATTCCCTTCTTGATAACATAGTTCGGATATCCTGGAACGACAAAGTCCTCTAAGCATTCGCGGTTGAGGACTGGAAGAACCGTGTATAGCCGAAGGGTTTCTGGGAATAAATAACTTGTCTAGTGTTATGTGAATTAAATGGTTAATTGGATTGCTTACCCGATATGACCTGGTTCAAATACTCCATGTCCTTGATACATTCATAAGTTAGCTCTCCATTATACCTGGCTAGTACCTCATTGCAATCGTCCCTCAACCGTTTTTGTATGTCCTCGTTCTGAGCCAATTCAAATAGAGCAAATCCCATGGTGGTGGAAGATGTTTCAAATCCGGCGGCGAAGAAGACGAAAGCCTGGGCAGCTATTTCTTCAATCGTAAGACTCATACTCTCACCCGTCTCGGACTTCATCAATTGATTGTTTTTCAAGTCAATCAGTTGATCCATGAAATCGTTGCGTCGAACATTGTTCTCCTCTCTGTAGGCAACAGTTTCTCTTACAATGCGCATGAAGAACTTTTCAATGTCCTCTGGAGTCATCTTCAAATGAATGCGTCTTGAAAATTTTGGAAAACTGTTCAGAAAAGCAATTCCCAAGGCCCCATGACGATGATCGGTTAAAGCCTTACGACCCATGACACGGAATTCCGCTTCCGGATCCTTGAGACTGCTGCACTCAATGCCAAATGCGCAAGTGCCAATAACATCTGTGGTAAATCGAGCCATGAGTTCCTTAACCTCAATAATCGAAGACTTGGCTATCATTTCTCCGAAGACGTCTACGAATTCGTGACCAATTTTTACAATGGTAGGAAACATGTACTTCATTTTGCCGGACGTAAAGGTTGATGATAGCTTGTTTCTCATAGATCTCCACTTGTGACCATCTAGCAGAAACAGCTGACCAGACAGTGGATCATCCTCGGGGTTGTGAAAGAAGCCTCTATCCGTGAACTTATTGAAATCCTTGATCAGGATATGCTTCACCAAGAAAGGCTCCAAGATAAATGCGGCTGGACGTTGAAACCAATAGAATCCGGCAAATGGTCCCGTTCCTTTAAACTTGTTATAATAATGAATCCAAATATCTGGAAATGCTCGCTTAATGCGGACGCCCGCCAAGTTGCCCATCAGAAAATTGGGCTCCTCGCATGGAATGCCCAAGTTTTGCCAATGCTGCATATTACGACGCAATCTCAAAAAGAGATAGCCTATCAGGGCTAGCACCGCAGTGAGTAATAAGGTGCCGACTCCCATGGCGACCAGCAACTATTTATATGATTCAGATAGATAGACTCGCCGCGATGTAAAAGAACTTTGGCGAAGTACTGAGCGCCACTGCGATCGGGTGCACCTATTTAATGCCCATTTGAAGCTTTCGCACTCAGTGTGACTATAGATATTCTCTGAAGAGCTTTTTGGGAGTGGGTAGTCAGCTGTGACAGTTGTACTCTATCGAAACAAGTTCTTCAGCACTATGGAGCATATTTTGTGGTATATTATTCTATATGCGAATTATATTATTTAATTCAATTATTCTGATGACAATGCTCTCTTTGTTATATAGCTATATTAAAAATGTTAGACGCCGGCTGCATGGTCTGGGTTTCATCCATTGACTATCGCATTTTACTTAATTTATTAAATACACGCTGTAAATTATAACGAGGGCCTGGAGGGATTAAAAGTTTTTATCCTATACCCAGCTAAAATTTTTATGTATGTATGTCCATTGTGAGTCTGCCTGTATTAAGTCTCTCTTGCACTTTCTCTCACTCTCTACCTCTACCTCTTTTTCTTTTCTTTTTCTTTCTGTGCTTTGGACTAATTTGCGAGAGACCGACAGTTCGGCCTAGCAGCAATTTTCATATTAAATATTAATAACAATAATATTGAAGTAATAGAAGCTGGATAGTAGCTGCGATGTAGTCGTAAAAAATATTTATATATTGGCAAGACAAAAATAAGTATGATTTATGTAAATAAGCCCCGCAGTTTCAAGTTAAAATCAAGCAGTGTATTTTATTAAAATTCCTGAGCAACATATTAATAATTCTAAACTCATATCGGGTCATTTGCATAAATCAAATGTACAGTTGATAAGAACTATGATATGTTGCCATGTGAGTTCTTAAACTCGCTCTACCTTTAGGTATATACCTGACTCGCTGGCTATCAAGAAGCTCTCTTTGTGATTTTTAATGGGTATAATTGTCTTATCGCACACCGAAAACTTAAAGTTTTTGATAAGCATGGCAAGACCAATGCGAGCCTGCATTTCCCCAAATCTCATTCCAATGCAATTACGCGGCCCATCACCAAAGGGAAGCCATTCTCCCGAGTCACGGTTCTTCACTCGTTCGGCTTTAAAATTATCTGGATTGAATCGGTTTGGTTCAGGATAGAACTTTTCATCACGGTGAATAGCACCGCAGGGTATCAGCACTGGCATTCCCTTCTTGATAACATAGTTCGGATATCCTGGCACGACAAAGTCCTCTAAGCATTCGCGGTTGAGGACTGGAAGAACCGTGTATAGCCGAAGGGTTTCTGGGAATAAATAACTTGTCAAGTGTTATGTGAATAAAATGGTTAATTGGATTGCTTACCCGATATGACCTGGTTCAAATACTCCATGTCCTTGATACATTCATAAGTTAGCTCTCCATTATACCTGGCTAGTACCTCATTGCAATCCTCCCTCAACCGCTTTTGTATGTCCTCGTTCTGAGCCAATTCAAATAGAGCAAATCCCATGGTGGTGGAAGATGTTTCAAATCCGGCGGCGAAGAAGACGAAAGCCTGGGCAGCTATTTCTTCAATCGTAAGACTCATACTCTCACCCGTCTCGGACTTCATCAATTGATTGTTTTTCAAGTCAATCAGTTGATCCATGAAATCGTTGCGTCGAACATTGTTCTCCTCTCTGTAGGCAACAGTTTCTCTTACAATACGCATAAAGAACTTTTCAATATGTTCTGGAGTCATCTTCAAATGAATGCGTCTTGAAAATTTTGGAAAACTGTTGATAAAAGCCATTCCCAAGTCCCCATGACGTTGGTCGGTTAAAGCCTTACGACCCATGACACGGAATTCCGCTTCCGGATCCTTGAGACTGCTGCACTCAATGCCAAATGCGCAAGTGCCAATAACATCTGTGGTAAATCGAGCCATGAGTTCCTTAACCTCAATAATCGAAGACTTGTCTGTCATTTCTCCGAAGACGTCTACGAACTCGTGACCAATTTTTACAATCGTAGGAAACATGTACTTCATTTTGCCGGACGTAAAGGTTGATGATAGCTTGTTTCTCATAGATCTCCACTTGTGCCCATCTAGCAGAAACAGCTGACCAGACAGTGGATCATCCTCGGGGTTGTGAAAGAAGCCTCTATCCGTGAACTTATTGAAATCCTTGATCAGGATATGCTTCACCAAGAAAGGCTCCAAGATGAATGCGGCTGGACGTTGAAACCAATAGAATCCGGCAAATGGACCTGTTCCTCGGAACTTGTTATAATAATGAATCCAAATATCTGGAAATGCACGCTTAATGCGGACGCCCGTCAAGTTGCCCATCAGAAAATTGGGCTCCTCGCATGGAATGCCCAAGTTTTGCCAATGCTGCATATTTCGACGTATTTGCAAGAAAAGATAGCCTATCAGGGCTATCACCGCCGTTAATAATAAAGTGCCGATGCCCATGCTAATCAGAAATTACTTATGCTAAAACAAGTGAAAGTGGTGGAGCACAAGTCTTACTATTTAAACAAATTTCAGCGGAAAACTAACCGCTACTTCGACGGTGTGTGCCTTATAAAGTCAAGAATATACGGTCGCAATGACATTTGAGCTTTAACGGACTCACTCTCTGGTTAATCTGTTGGCTTGCTAACACACTTGGTAGTGCTTAAATGTGTCCGTAACCCTTATCGATTGGAGCTTTTGCAGACTTTTGTAGCTAGCCTCCAAATATATATTTTAATGTCTGAAACGCCATCTAGAATTCATATAGTTCTC